GAAGTCCCAAGACTCTTTCCTAGCTGATCCAGAGAGTTGCCTGTGCTCACCTGCCTTTGTATGTGTCTTAATTTCACTATCTTCACTATTATCCTTTTTTCATTGTCTTTTCTTTCCTTGTCTATGCTTTATTTCCTCTTCTTCCCAGGATGGCTACCACTGTTTCTTCTATCCTTTGAGAAGAGGGTAGTCTGTGATTTTAGATTTGGTTCTATATAATACATATTTTATACTTCTGCTTTGAATATATGTATTAGACATGGCATGAAATGTATTATTGCATATTTGATTTGTACTTACAGGAATTTAGGGGCTTTGTTTCAGTCTCTGCTGTATCCCCAGTTTGTAAAATAGCCCCCAGTACATAACTGGCATGCAAGGCATATTTTTTGCAAGAAGAAAAGAACAGAACACAAGCGAGGGTTCAAATGTGAAAACTCTCTTCTTTAACAACTTTGCAAACATGTTGCCAAACAGTTTTGCTCTCAAGGAAATGAGGGAAAACATTCCATTATCAAGTATTTGTCATTTGTTAACTGAACAGACTGATTTCACAGGTTCTGTTGGCCCAACGAAATATGCAGTGTTGAACATTCAGCACCTTATATAAACTCTGGGAAGTCTAGATAAAGGGAATGGAAAGAGGATGATTTTCAGTTGAGGATTCACTTTGAAAGGAGGAGTTTTATAAGGCCCTAAAATTGGTCCTTGAGTATCCATTTACATTTGCTCCAATCCAGTTTAATTTCTAATGCAACTAGCCAAAAACATTAACAAGGGCAGGAAGAGATTTCTGGTTTCCAGAAGTGAGCCCTTGGTCCACAGCCAAAGCTATCACCTCGGATGAAAATAAAATGATTTACCACAGGAGAAGAGTTTCTGTCTCCTTTCATCCAGGGTTAGGAATAGCGGGCCATGTGGGACAAGTTTGTTCAGGATGCTAATAACTGCCGTCAGATTCTAAGTCACAGGATGCAAAGTGATGGTCCAAGGACCAAATCTGGCCCACATATGTATTTGATTTGATCTATGCTGTTTTTTTCATTGAATTATCTGCCAATATGGAAAGGCAGGAGAATTCACATAAAACTCTGGTTTTCTTTTTTTTCCCCTTGAGAAAAAAGATAAAAACAAAAGCTATGGCAACACTGGGCCTACAATCCCAAATGTGGCAACAATTAGCTGGTGTTGAAGCACAAATTCCCTTTACTGCCTATTTCCCTACCATAGTCCCAGCCTTGCCTATTTTCACACTGAGACTGAAAATAGTTTCAGTTCGCCATTCCTCATCTTGCATTGTTTTCTTTCTTAGAGTCTGCCTATCTCACCTATTTATTTTATCTGCCTGGGCCCTATATACAACTACCGTCCTAAACTATCCCACAAATGTTGTTAGATTTCCCTCCTTCTGCCTGAGAGTGGGTGCGCAAGTGTTCTGAGTTGTGGCTCTACTTTTGTGGTTCCAAATCAACTGGCCGATTGTAGTAGTTTCTCCAAAACCTCTGTATACATGTGGTCACTGGAGAGGTGGGAGTGGGCTCAGCCAGAGGACTAGATGAGTGAAAGAATCAGTCATTTCTGTGACTGTAGATATAGACAGGGTTTCCTAGCTGACTGCCTCATAGTAACCCACTAGAATCTATTTAACTTGGGTGGACTTGATATGCCTTTGGCAAAAGAGGAGAAGAAGTAAGGTTGTCAACAGAAGAGGAAGACTAATCTGAATGTATACAATGCCTATCGTTTTTTTACAGCACACATTATTTATTTACCTATACATATATATGAATATGAGCATACACAAAAGCATTTATGCTGTCCCTCAGGACTGTGTAAGGCAGTTTTAAAGTTAATTTTAGCTATGTAATTTTCCCCTTGATTTTCTTAATTTTTTTTATTGACTTAGATTACTTTTGTTATAAAATATAATCCTAAATATATACCTAAATATTATAAACATAAAATTAGACATTAATAGTAAATGTCTATAGCTTCCGATACATTTAAACCCAAAATACATCGACAAATAAATGCAACCCAAATAACACAAACAACACAAGTCAGATGTCTAACACCAATTTAACATGATTGATGTTGCTTTGCTGAAATAAACGCTAACAATATAAAGACACTTACTACATGATACAGGTTCTTTTGATGAAATCATACTGTACAAGTTCATAGTATCTTATCTGAAATCCCTGGGGCAAGATATAATGTATAATTTTGAAATTTCATACTTTAGAAAGAGGCAGTACACAATAATCAAATGCACAAATACTTTATCATGTACTATATGACTATTCATAGTAAATGGGATAATTAAAAACTAGAAATAGCCTAATATCAGTGCAGGTCAGTTTTTATCACTCAGTGAGTTTGTCACAAACTTACTAATAAAATGGCTGGGCCATTTAACAAGTCCTACAACCTTGGGAGAATTATTTAATTTCAATGATCTCACCCACGAAATAATTTAATTAGATTAGAGTAAGTAAGCCATGACCTGCATCCAGAAAGAAAACCTGAATATTTATTCATGGCCAGTAAAAGTTGCAGAATAAATACTTATCAGGTGTCTTCCTTCACTACAGTGAGCCAAACTCTAGGTTAAAACAAGGACCCAGAGATAACTGAAGCCAATGGCTGGATTCCAGTAGCTCCTGTCCAGTAGAGGACATGTAAATGAACACATGACAGTTCACCGCGGTAAGAGTAACAATACCTGCATGCAGAAAAGGTAGACTAATTTTGTAAGCAGGGAGAGATTAGGGAACACTTTCTTGGTTAGTAAGTGGGGTTTGAAGCATGAGTAGGAATTCATAAGACAGTGGGCTATTATTAAAATAGCTCTAACATTTTGGAGATAAACAATACTGTAGAGGGCACTGGAGGGAAAATCGATTCTCCTCTGTTGTTTACCAGCTTAATCATTTATAGTCTCCTCTGTGACACTGTCCAACTCAGTCTCAGTGCTTTCCTACACCAGTCGTGAAGTCTGAGGGTGCATGGCTTTGTAGAATCTCTCTTCTCTTGATAGGGAAGAACGTGCAGTTCTCAGGCCTTGCTTTGGTCCTATTTGTGTTCTAATACTGAAAATGCCAAGTGAACAAGATTCTTATCTATTTATTAAGACATTCGCAGTGTTCTCTGAGAATGTGGTTTCTCCTCTCTCTCCCTTCCTTCCCCTCACACCCCTCAACCAGTTCCTGTTGGTGGGAACTTGAAAATCCTAAACCGGATTCTTTCAGGCTCTTCTAACTCAAACTTTTCATTGATTGCCCTCTCTCTAAAGGGATGAGTTAATGAGCGTAATTCCTTCAGTGGCATGGGAAGCACTGCTTGCACCTGGCTGGCACACTTGTAGGGCACCCCTTATCACGGTCCAGATCCATGATGGCATCGAGACACATGTGGTTGCCACAGAAGAACTCATCATTAGCGTACACTTAAATAGCCTTCAAATAGTTGTTCCACATTTACTTATCAGAGAGGTGGAAAACTGTTCAGAGACTGGGCAGGGAAAAAGACCTTGGTGGCAGCACTCAACCTCTCCACTAACATTCTGAGCTATTTAACTCCAGCCCCCAAACTTGCCCTCTCCCTACTGAAAAAGTGAGGCCCTGCAGAGAAATGGGACCAACTTTTTAGAAGGCCATTTGGTGATTATATCATGTGACTGCCCATGTCCCTTTAGAGTCCTACCCGCTCCATCCTCAACTGGCTCATTAGAATATTCATCCAAATATATACAGAGAGGAATCCGGGAAAGTATGACTGTCTTGCTGTTGTTACACTGCAGTGCCATTTGGGTGACCCCATTAGCTGGCACCACACTGACATTCAGTCTGTAAGGATCAACGCTAATCTCTCCTAGAATCTTATGAAGAGGGCTTCCAAAGAAATAAAGAACACCATATTAACATTTCTATTCTGAATCAGAGTAGGCTCCCTTCCAAAGTCCAGTAAATTCCTTCTGAAAAGGGAATCATATAGCTCACTTGCTGAGTGATTAACCTCTTTCAGGTTGAATACTTTGCTTGGTGCTAGTGTCAGAAAGATGAGGACATCAGCAACCCTGACTCACATTCTAGATTCATCACTGGACATTGTGGTTTGACTGAATTCCTGATGTTAAAAATGACAGTAGTGGTACTTCCCTGGCTGTCCAGTGGTTAAGACTTCGCCTTCCAATGCAGGGTGTGAGGGTTCGATCCCTGGTCAGGGAGCTAAGATCCCACATGCCTTGGGGCCAAGAAACAAAAACATAAAACAGAAGCAATAATGTAACAAATTCAATAAAGACTTTAAAAATGGTCCACACCAAAAAATCTTTAAAAAAAAAATGACAGTAGTATAACCATTCTTTTCCAGGGTTACTTTAGGAAGTTCAGGAGTGTGATGTGTCAAGTGTCAACTCTGCTCATGCAGCATGGTTTAGGGGTTCAAGCGATCAGGAAAGGCATAGGAGCATGTTCCTTGGTGATGCTTTCATGTTATAGCTCACAGAGGGTCTGGAGAGCTGGTGTGGCATCTAGAGCTTAAAGTACGTCTGTTTTTTAGCAACTCGATCAGTAATCACCTCACTGCTCTCTTTACTGTTTGTAGTATGGTTCCCCTCACCACATTCACACCTGTCTGTCCAAAAGGCTTCACGATGCAGAGTGTGGATTAAAATGTGTGCAAACTTCACTCCAGTCCTCAGAGCTTGTCCATTTGTCTTTGATCTCGAAGCCAGTCAAGGAGAAAACCCATGTCTGTTTCTAATTCTACCTGGATGTAAGCTGTAGACAGACATATCATTATAGAACACAGCTCAAGAAAAAAGGAAGATAAATTTTCTTTCAAGTACTTAGTCTCAAAATTTTCCAGTTTAAGGATGTTTTAGATCAAGAGTGGTGTAAATGAAGGAGGCAAAGGCAGGGTAAAGTAATGAAAAAGCCTGAAGACTTTATTATTTATACAATTGGAGAAAATACAAATACAATTTGACTCTTTGGTGCAGCATTGTTCCATATTTACCCTGAAACAATGTTAATGGGGAGACACAGTTGTTTCTCAGGGCTCTGTAGAAGTTTGCAGTGGGTCTGATGTGGGGAGAGGTGGTGGAAGCAAAACGGAAGGAGAGGGTTTAGGAGATGTAGCCGGCAAGGACAGGTAACAGCCAGCCTTATGGACTTCAGCCTGGAGTTCAGTTTCGTCCTGAAGGTAGTGGGAAAATATTGAAGGGTTTTCATTAGAAGAGTGACATTTTTGAAAATACAGTTTTTTTCATATATACATACAATGATTATCTTGCTTTTCAATATAACATTATCTCACAAGTGTTTTTCAAGTTTACATTTACAAGTGTAATTTTTTTTTTTTTTGCGGTACGCGGGCCTCTCACTGCTGTGGCCTCTCCCGTTGCGGAGCACAGGCTCCGGACGCGCAGGCTCAGCGGCCATGGCTCACGGGCCCAGCCGCTCCATGGCATGTGGGATCTTCCCGGACCGGGGCACGAACCTGTGTTCCCTGCATCGGCAGGTGGACTCTCAACCACTGCACCACCGGGGAAGCCCTACAAGTGTAATTTTAATGCTAGTCCACTAAGAAAACTTTCCTTAATTCGTCAACAGCTGGAAATTCATATTATTTTATCATGTATTTTTAATTATCCATTTACCTCTCTGAATATCCATCCAGACTATGAAGTCAAGGACTGAATCTTCTTTCCACTTAACCTTTGTCATCTGGTGTAGAGCTTGATATAAATAGAAACTAAACCAGGAGTCTTCCCGCCGATATCTTCCAGAGATTTGGAGGATTCTCTTCCAAATATTTCAACCTTGGGAGGCAGCCTTTCCTCTTTACTTTAGTGAGCTCCTGTGATATCCTCAGCCCCATATATGTTCAAGCAACCAGTTAACCAGTTCAAATCAACTCCAAGAATCGTTCTGACTTGCAGTATGCATTGGCCCAAGTACTTGATATACAGAAATGAGAAGTCACTGTCTCTCCTGCTGCCACACCACACCACACAAACTGGGTGCAGATGTAAATCTTGTATATGTGATTAAATTACAGGCTAACCATCTGGTCACTCAATTCAGGCTTACCTCTCTGAATAAGTCAATCCAGCTTCACAAGGGAAAGACCCACGTTCCGTTTTCCTGTGCCACCTGGGGCTGAAGCAGGGAGTGTAATTGTGTGAAGCTGAGATCAAGTTCCGTCGTCCTAAAAAACAGGAAGTTGCTGTGGCTTCTTCTAGCCTCGCCTTCCTTTTTCTCTGTTTAATTCACAGCCCTTCCTCAATCTGGGCCACCCCCAATATGAAATAGGATAACCCTGTCTGTAAGGATCAACCCTAATCTCTCCCAGAATTCCACAAGGAGGCCTTCCAAAGAAATAAAGATCTCCACATTTCTGTTTCAGTTCTGAATTAAAGCAGACTCAATCCCAGGTATATTCTTTCTGAAAAGGGAAAAGCTACACCAGGAGGATTACAATTTACAGGGAGATGACTATTCAAAAAAAAAAAAAAAAACTTTTGGAGGGACAAATGACGCCCATAAATTAATTTTTGCCCTGGCTAAGGAAAGGTGAAGTTAATAGGGGAGAGAGAATCTCAGAAAGGAAAATTAAAGCCAACATGCTTCTGGCTTCTTGAGGATGCCCCCTGAGTTGACTAATTACCTACGAGGAGATTATGAAGTGATTTGTGAACTTCTCTTGCTTTATGGGGGGAAAAATGGAAGAACTACCATGTAACTCTATTGGGTGGGCTAGAAATTGACTTGAGAAAAAATCACCGAGATACTGGGAATGAAAAAGAAACAGAGGGCAAAAACCTACTCAGGAGTAATAAGCAGGGGGACAACTACCTTAGGCAGTGGTCTCTCAGCTGGCTAATGGAATCATGATGTGGGTCCAGGACAAGTCTGGGGATTTCTTTCCTCTTCTGCCTTTTCCTTGCTTTCTCCCTTCCTCCCTCTCTCCCTCTTTCTCTCATCCAATGGGTAAACATCTTGTTCTGTGATGGGTACTTCCCAGGCACTAGGAACATAGAATAAGACCAGCCCAGTAACAAATGACATAGAATAAGAGGGAGAGGGCTTCCCTGGTGGCGCAGTGGTTGAGAGTCCGCTTGCCGATGCAGGGGACACGGGTTCGTGCCCTGGTCTGGGAAGATTCCACATGCCGCGGAGAGGCTGGGCCCGTGAGCCATGGCCGCTGAGCCTGCGCATCCGGAGCCTGTGCTCCGCAACGGGGGTGGGGGGGGGGCAAAGAAAAAAGGGAGAAAACTTTTTCACCAAATTTCTCTCAGGAAAGAAACGGTATTAGTTTGTAAAAGCCATTCTTGATGAATGGGTGGGATAGAAAGTGATACCCTGACAAGCCTAGATACGGCTGAGGACTACATATGAATGAGGCAAAGGGAAAAGTGCTTTTGGTGCACCAGAGAGGAGGAGGGGAGGTGGGAGGGAGCGACTAATATGGTGAAAAGTCAGGCTTCACAATGTGAACCTTCACCAGAGTCCCAAAGTATTCAATGTAGATTTCTCGTGAAAAATCCGTAAAGGGGCTGAGTTCTATGTATGGGATGTCACAGAGCACAACAGAAACAGTATGCAAGGGGCCAGCAGAGACCAGAGAGGAACCAGAGAGAAAGGTGAGGTGACACCATAAGGACTCATAGGAGAAGTTCTGTCCCATCACGGGCCACGTAACTGGAGTCCAGGCTGATTTTGACCAGATTTGCAAGATTCACAGGGCTTCTGGGCTACATCAGGGTTTCACATTCAGTTGGTCACAGAAGTACATTTGAAAGTCCATACACCCATCATCTGAGAATACAGGAAAAATATGTACTGCAAAGCCCAACTCACTGGATGGTGAATCAATAACATCATACACTTTATATCATATATAATTGTATGGCCCCAAGTGTCCATATATGCATAGATAGGCTTCAAAGAAATCCATGAACTCCCTGAAATTACATGCAAAATGTAATTATACATACATGAAATAGATACATGGAATATAAATACATATGAAAATAGCTCACAGTAAAAATAACTACCATCTATTGAGTGTTTAATATGTACTTACTAAAAGTTTCATACACAATTATTTCATGTTTACAACTCTGTAACAATAAAAAACAAACCTGAAAATCGAAGACCGTGAGTCACCCTCTCCAGGTCACACCACTAATGCATGGCAAACAAGGACTTGGACTCATGGCACAGTTATTAGCCTACAGCCTTAACTGCCTCCACCGATGTGCCCTCTGAACTTTGCTGAATCCCAGGTCAGACTTTGTGATCATTTCACATGTTGTTTTTGCGCAGAGAAAAAGATTAGAGCTTTGGACTTAGGTGCCTCATGGGGCTAAGATTCTACTTATATTTTCTTTTTCTTTTTTTTTTTTTGTCCTTGAAATATCAGATTTGCCTTTTTATTCCATCAAAATATTTTTTTTACATCTTTATTGGAGTATAATTGCTTTACAGTGCTGTGTTAGTTTCTGCTTTATAACAAAGTGAATCAGTTATACATATGTTCCCATATCTCTTCCCTCTTGCGTCTCCCTCCCTCCCACCCTCCCTATCCCACCCCTCCAGACCGTCACAAAGCACCGAGCTGATCTCCCTGTGCTATGTGGCTGCTTCCCACTAGCTATCTGCCTTATATTTGGTAGTGTATATATCCATGCCTCTCTCTCGCTTTGTCACAGCTTACCCTTCCCCCTCCCCATATCCTCAAGTCCATTCTCTAGTAGGTCTGTGTGTTTATTCCCGTCTTACCCCTAGGTTCTTCATGACATTTTATTTTTTCTTAGATTCCATATATATGTGTTAGCATACTGTATTTGTCTTTCTCTTTCTGACTTACTTCACTCTGTATGACAGACTCTAGGTCTATCCACCTCATTACAAAAGGCTCAATTTCGTTTCTTTTTATGGCTGAGTAATATTCCATTGTATATATGTGCCACATCTTCTTTATCCATTCATCCGATGATGGACACTTAGGTTGTTTCCATCTCCGGGCTATTGTAAATAGAGCTGCAATGAACATTTTGGTACATGACTCTTTTTGAATTATGGTTTTCTCAGGGTATATGCCCAGTAGTGGGATTGCTGGGTCATATGGTAGTTCTATTTGTAGTTTTTTAAGGAACCTCCATACTGTTCTCCACAGTGGCTGTATCAATTTACATTCCCACCAACAGTGCAAGAGGGTTCCCTTTTCTCCACACCCTCTCCAGCATTTATTGTTTCTAGATTTTTTGATGATGGCCATTCTGACCGGTGTGAGATGATATCTCATTGTAGTTTTGATTTGCATTTCTCTAATGATTAATGATGTTGAGCATTCTTTCATGTGTTTGTTGGCAGTCTGTATATCTTCTTTGGAGAAATGTCTATTTAGGTCTTCTGCCCATTTTTTGATTGGGTTGTTTGGTTTTTTGTTATTGAGCTGCATGAGCTGCTTATAAAATTTGAAGATTAATCCTTTGTCAGTTGCTTCATGTGAAATATTTTCTCCCATTCTGAGGGTTGTCTTTTGGTCTTGTTTATGGTTTCCTTTGCTGTGCAAAAGCTTTGAAGTTTCATTAGGTCCCATTTGTTTATTTTTGTTTTTATTTCCATTACTGTAGGAAGGGGGTCAAAAAGGATCTTGCTGTGATTTATGTCATAGAGTGTTCTGCCTATGTTTTCCTCTAAGAGTTTTGATAGTTTCTGACCTTACATTTAGGTCTTTAATCCATTTTGAGCTTATTTTTGTGTATGGTGTTAGGGAGTGATCTAATCTCATACTTTTACATGTACCTGTCCAGTTTTCCCAGCACCACTTATTGAAGAGGCTGTCCTTTCTCCACTGTACATTCCTGCCTCCTGTATCAAAGATAAGGTGACCATATGTGCGTGGGTTTATCTCTTGGCTTTCTATCCTGTTCCATTGATCTATCTTTCTGTTTTTGTGCCAGTACCATACTGTCTTGATTACTGTAGCTTTGTAGTATAGTCTGAAGTCAGGGAGCCTGATTCCTCCAGCACCGTTTTTTGTTCTCAAGATTGCTTTGGGTATTCGGGGTCTTTTGTGTTTCCATACAAATTGTGAAAATTTTTGTTCTAGTTCTGTGAAAAATGCCAGTCGTAGTTTGATAGGGATTGCATTGAATCTGTAGATTGCTTTGGGTAGTAGAGTCATTTTCACAGTGTTGATTCTTCCAATCCAAGAACATGGTATATCTCTCCATCTATTTGTATCATCTTTAATTTCTTTCATCAGTGTCTTATAATTTTCTGCATACAGGTATTTTGTCTCCTTAGGTAGGTTTATTCCTAGATAGTTTATTCTTTTTGTTGCAGTGGTAAATGGGAGTGTTTTCTTGATTTCACTTTCAGATTTTTCATCATTAGTGTATAGGAATGCCAGAGATTTCTGTGCATTAATTTTGTATCCTGCTACTTTACCAAATTCATTGATTAGCTCTAGTAGTTTTCTAGTAGCATCTTTAGGATTCTCTATGTATAGTATCATGTCATCTGCAAACAGTGACAGCTTTACTTCTTTTCCGATTTGGATTCCTTTTATTTTCTTTTCTTCTCTGATTGCTGTGGCTAAAACTTCCAAAACTATGTTGAATATTAGTGGTGAGAGTGGGCAACCTTGTCTTGTTCCTGATCTTAGTGGAAATGCTTTCAGTTTTTCACCATAGAGGATGACGTTGGCTGTGGGTTTGTCATATATGGCATTTATTATGTTGAGGAAAGTTCCCTCTATGCCTACTTTCTGCAGGGTTTTTATCATAAATGGGTGTTGAATTTTGTCGAACGCTTTCTCTGCATCTATTGAGATGATCATATGGTTTTTCTCCTTCAGTTTGTTAATATGGAGTATCACGTTGATTGATTGGCGTATCTTGAAGAATCCTTGCATTCCTGGAATAAACCCCACTTGATCATGGTGTATGATCCATTTAATGTGTTGTTGGATTCTGTTTGCTAGTATTTTGTTGAGGATTTTTGCATCTATGTTCATCAGTGATATTGGCCTGTAGTTTTCTTTCTTTGTGACATCCTTGTCTGGTTTTGGTATCAGGGTGATGGTGGCCTCGTAGAATGAGTTTGGGAGTGTTCCTGCCTCTGCTATATTTTGGAAGAGTTTGAGAAGGATGGGTGTTAGCTCTTCTCTAAATGTTTGATAGAATTCGCCTGTGAAGCCATCTGGTCCTGGGCTTTTGTTTGTTGGAAGATTTTTAATCACAGTTTCAATTTCAGTGCTTGTGATTGGTCTGTTCATGTTTTCTATTTCTTCCTGATTCAGTCTTGGCAGGTTGTGCATTTCTAAGAATTTGTCCATTTCTTCCAGGTTGTCCATTTTATTGGCATAGAGTTGCTTGTAGTAATCTCTCATGATCTTTTGTATTTCTGCAGTATCAGTTGGTACTTCTCCTTTTTCATTTGTAATTCTATTGATTTGAGTCTTCTCCCTTTTTTTCTTGATGAGTCTGGCTAATGGTTTATCAATTTTGTTTATCTTCTCAAAGAACCAGCTTTTAGTTTTATTGATCTTTGCTATCATTTCCTTCATTTCTTTTTCATTTATTTCTGATCCGATTTTTATGATTTCTTTCCTTCTGCTAACTTTGGGGTTTTTTTGTTCTTCTTTCTCTAATTGCTTTAGGTGCAAGGTTAGGTTGTTTATTCGAGATGTTTTCTGTTTTGTAAGGTAGGATTGTATTGCTATAAACTTCCCTCTTAGAACTGCTTTTGCTGCATCCCATCGAGTTTGGGTCATCGTGTCTCCTTTGTCATTTGTTTCTAGGTATTTTTTTATTTCCTCTTTGATTTCTTCAGTGATCACTTCGTTATTAAGTAGTGTATTGTTTAGCCTCCATGTGTTTGTATTTTTGACAGATCTTATCCTGTAATTGATATCTAGTCTCATAGCGTTGTGCTCAGAAAAGATACTTGGTACAATTTCAATTTTTTTAAATTTACCAAGGCTTGATTTGTGACCCAAGATATGATCTATCCTGGAGAATGTTCCATGAGCACTTGAGAAAAATGTGTATTCTGTTGTTTTTGGATG